CATCATGTGTGCTTTCAAGTCTTGTGTGCCATCAGCTGAGGAACCATGTCTGACCTTGCTGGGAAGCATGAACAACCCAAAATAATCTTCCTTGTTAGGCACATCACAGCCTTTTTCAGAGATGCGTGCATCCCAAGTTTTTTTCATAGAATGGTTTGAGTTGGAAGAGACCTTTAAAGCTCATCTAGCCCAACACTCCTGCCATGGGCAGGAACATCTTTCAATAGATCAGGTTGCTCAAAGCCCCATGCAGCCTGGCCTTGAACACTTCCAAAGATGGGACACCCACAGCTGCTCTGGGAAACCTGTTCCCATGTCTCACCCCCCTCATAGTAAAGAATTTCTTCCTTTATTATGGGTTTTGCCTGCGAGTTTCTGAAGTCAAGATGCTGCATGGTGAAGCAGTGGGTTGGGGGAGTGGAGAGAGCCAAGCAAGCTGGTGGTGCGCCTTCCATGACTGCTTCTCCTCCCCTTTGCCTGTTGGCAGCCCGGGGGGGGCCGGGTCAGATTGGGAAGCAAGGGACAATGCTGCGAAGAAGCTTGGTGTTTGGCTGGGAACAGCCTCCAGTAGGTACCTCCAGCCCTCCAGAGTGGTGTTCACGGGGCAGCTGTAGTTACATGCAAGACATCCATGAAGAACAGACCTTGGAGTGAGTGGGAAGGGCTTTGGATGACTGCAGTGATGAGCTGGCAGGGGGACCCCAGAAGATGGAGGCAGATGAGGGTGAAGGCAGAGATAGAGACGCTGCCAGCGGATGAGTACCTGAAGGGCAGGGAGAGTGGTAGCCGTCAGGGTTTGTGTTTATCTTTGCAGCAGTGATTATTTTCAGGTAAGGGTCTGAGAGTAAAACGTCAGCTCCTGCTATTAATAGCGCTGCAAACAAGGCTGTTGCTCATTACTGACAGGTGAGATGAAGTTAATTTTATTTCATCCTAGGTATGAAAAAGTGCAAAAGCAAGACAGGCTCCGAGTCAGTCCCGTCGGTCCAGAAAAGATGGGGGAGAGACACCCCCCAGCCCTGCGGGGGGGCAGCGTGGGGTGATGTTCCCCAGGGTGCTTCAGCCTGCTCCAGAGGAGGAGTGGGTATGGCGAGGAGCTGCAGCTGGCTAGGATTGCTGGACACATGCTGAGTTTAGGTAAAGAGCAAACTGGGGACCTTCGGCGTTCCTGCTCTGAAACTGGAGGGTTTGCCCGGGGGAGAGAAGATCTCGGCCCAAGGGCAGCAGCACGTGGTGGGACCCCAAAACAGCTTTCGGCAGCAAATCCCCGTCTGAATGGGCTGCAGCTTCCTGGAGGAGGGATTTGACAACCCCACGGGTGAAAGCTGTGCCTGGGCTTGTAGCCACCTTTGGAAAGTTGAGGTGCCTTTAGCAGGCTGAGGAATCTGGCCACTGGTGATCCTCAGAGCAGATGCAGACACAAGGTGGGTGGCAGGGTAAAAGTCTTGGGGATTAATGGCGCTGGTGTAGACGAGAGCCGCACACAGCTTGCATTGTTTGAGCAGATGTGTCCTGTCTGCTGCTAATTATAAGCGTTGTGTGCACAACACACACTGGGAGATGTGCCAGATACTATTCCTTTTCATGTTGAACTCCAAATCATTATAATTAAGCTTTAAAGTTGTAAGTAAAAACTAACAAGGAGTGTGGGTTTGCCATCACGCGGCTTGCAAGTGGGCCGGTCCCTGCCGGGATGGATGGGTGTGAGGGTACGGCCTCCGTCCTGGGGGCAGTTGGGGCGGGCTGGGGGTGTGAAGGGCTGTGTGGGCTCTGCCATGGTGGGCTTGTCCAGGTTTGGGTTTTAAATAGGCAGGAGACTCAAAAATACTAGGAATGTGCCATTTTACAGATGTGGGAAGTTGTTGCTGAGTGAGCTTTAGCATCCTCTTAGGCTTGGTGGGCACAGAGGAGAGGTGCTTATTAAGAAGGAAAAGTCAGGAATGAAAGTGGGAAGCAATCAGGGAAGCAATCACATAACCTGGGGCTGAGGGAAACCTGGGCTGGTATCTCTGGTTTGAGGAAAACGAGACAGACTTGCTGAAGAAGCAGCTCCAGGAGGAGTTGCGCACGTGAGCTTTAGCATCCTCTTAGGCTTGGTGGGCACAGAGGAGAGGTGCTTATTAAGAAGGAAAAGTCAGGAATGAAAGTGGGAAGCAATCAGGGAAGCAATCACATAACCTGGGGCTGAGGGAAACCTGGGCTGGTATCTCTGGTTTGAGGAAAACGAGACAGACTTGCTGAAGAAGCAGCTCCAGGAGGAGTTGCGCACGTCGGGCTGGGGGGC